TATGAACTGGACTTTTCTAAAGTCTACTGGAACCCACGCCTTTCCACAGAACACGGCCGTATCGTTGAGCTTTTAAAGCCCGGTGACGTCCTTTTCGATGTCTTTGCTGGGATTGGACCTTTTGCTATTCCAGCAGCAAAGAAAAAGTGCCGCGTATTTGCGAACGATCTCAATCCTGAATCCTACAACTGGCTCCTGCACAACTGCAAACTAAACAAAGTAGACAACAAAATAAAAGCATTCAACATGGATGGCAGGGACTTCCTCCTGGGGCCAGTAAGAGAAGAACTAAGTAAAGAGCTCCCACTTCTGAAAGAACAGAAAACCTCTTTTCACATAGTCATGAATTTGCCAGCTCTGGCTATTGAATTTCTAGATGTTTTCAGGCATCTCTTAGTCGGAGAGCCGTGCAGCACGGCTGGCCTTCCCACAGTGCACTGCTATGGATTCTCCAAACATGATGACCCTGCCAAAGATATTCAAGAACGAGCTGAAGCTTCGCTGGGAACCTCCCTAGATGGCCGCTGTTCTACTCACCTGGTTAGAAATGTTGCACCGAGCAAGGAGATGCTGTGCATTAGTTTCCGGATTCCGGCAGACGTGCTGTACAAGAGGCCCTGCCCTGATGAAGGTAAGGAGCAAGCCTCCTACACAGCGCTTGGATTTCATGCCACGCCTTTTGCTGTGTCAGGCTGGTCCCGCCTCGTCAGCCCGGGCGGCCGCGTCAGCCATCTGACAGCCATGCCGCGCTCCGGTGCGAGCGCAGAGGTGGCCAGCAGGACTGAGCGCCTGCACATGTGCAGCAGCTGCGGGGCTTCCTGCGCTCTGGGAACAGCGGTCCGCTCCTCGCATCCCAGCATGAGCCTCCACAGAAAAATGGTGGATGGGGTAGGATTGTCCCACGGGCCGTAAACCAGACCCTTGTGCCTTGGATTGCGTGCTGGGGGAGGACGGGGTATCTGACGCCAGACACACGATTCTGTTAGCTAAATGCTTGAGAACTGGAGCTTCGTTTTCAGCCAGGGTAGAACGGCGTCCTTCCGCGTGACTGGTCCCAGTTCGGACCTTCTCCCTTGTGCTTGCACGGACTCAGTCTAGGTCTGGAGCCACTACATCAGCAGAATCCCGTTCTGTACAATTTAATTGAGAAATAGATATCCTTAGAGATCTTTAATGTTGAATTTGATTTTTTTTTTTTTTTTTATAATTGGTCATTTGTTTCTTGAAGTACTCGCACCAGCTGGTTGGTTTCAGTGATCTTGGGCTTTGCACTACATGACAAGGTGGGGGAGAGGGGCGGCTTTCAGCCTGCAGTTACTTGAACTGGAGGAAAGGAGGTTTTGATGCAGCTTTAACGCCCTGAAACTTGTTTTTACGCTGTTGTTGGGTAGCACTGAGATGTAGGTGAAAATGTAGCTCAATGCAGGGTTTTTGAAAGTCCTTTTTGGCGTTTAGTAAAAAGCCCCCATTATTGCTGTAACAGTTTTCATTTGTGACCGTTAATCCCGATTTTAACTCTCATCTCTTCCTGTTAAATCCCTTAAGTGTTCCATGGCTTGTGGTTTAGCTCAGTCTGTTTACTGTACATTAAATAACTCACTTTTTCTAACCTTCTTCCAGCAAAACCAGCCTCTAAACGTCTGTGTACCAGCAAAGATTTTTCTGAAGAAAAGCTGGAGTTGAAGAAGAGCTGAAGACTAGAGTTACGGTAACTACCTGAGTAGGTTGTGTAAGGTATACATAGGTTACCTCCAGTTTACCCCTTGAGTTATTTGAAGCATACCTGTGTTACCCATCTCGGGTGCCGAGACGCATAAGGCCTGTTGCAGCTTTCCTCTGTGAGCCTTGCTTCCTGCGTTTGCCTTTTATTTTTAATTGTGGGATCAATAAGCAGATTGAAATTGTTGTTACTATGAAAAAATAAAGCTTCCCTTTTTTGTAATAAATGCGGTTTGGTACTTTTCTGCGCTCTATTTTTTCACGCCCTGTGATAATTCAGTGACACAAACTGGGATAGTTTTCTGCTGTGTCATTTTGATAATGTGCGGTTTGTGGCAAAACCAGATCTTTATATTTTGTCGGGTCTAGCAAGCTGACTTGTGTAATCCTTGCATTAGATTCTCTTTGAAAGTGGTTTTGGTGTTTAAGAATATTGGATTGCTGTTAGCAGATGCACAAACAGCTCTTGTGTAAGCAAGATAACCTTTCAAAAACTTAACCCAAGGCACAAAAAGGCCCAAATAGCCATATATACTTGGTCCGAAGCTTTTGAGTAATAAATGCTTTTTAACACTGAGATTTAGTTAGGGATTAGTTGACTCCTAACTTCGTGTTTGCCCACCGTTAAAGCAGGAAAGACTCTAATGCTGTTCACACAGTTGCAGATTAAGTACCCGCTTGCGTTAAAGCACCAGACCGAAAGCCGGGACCTGGCGGAACGGTCCTCTCGTCTTGAAACCGCGTCCTCCTGCGGCTTTTGTGCCCCTGCCGTCACCCAGTGCTCCCCTGCCTCTCCCGCTCCTCCTCTGCTGCAGTCCCCAGCCCATCTCTGCCTGCAGGGATTCAAAAAGCCTCTGCCTTTGATGGCCTTTTCTTCCCCATCCAAACTGTTGTTGGGCAATGCCAACCACAGATAGTTCATTTAGACAGAGGAACTCGCATCACCCTCTCGGTTTCAGATACTTCCCTTCGGTCCCAGCTCAGGGCTCAGGCCTAGCCGCTCCGTCCCCAGATGTCCCTCACCCTCCCTGGCTCTGCTGCCGTGGCTCCATCGCCGGGGCCTGCAACCCGATGGCTTGGTTCTCACCCAAACAGCCACTGAGGCCCGTAGATTTGTTCTTCTCGGTGCCTCTACGCTACAGCCTTTCCCTTGGCTACGCAGCCAGGGCTTTTCAGCAAGCCTCCGCAGCTTGGTTACCGCTCGATTGCGTTTATCAAACCAGGGTTAAAAAAAAAATCATCATGACTCGCTCGTGCTATCCTGAAAGCTGCTGTACAGATTACTGCCCTGGCTGCCACTCTAGCCCGAGCGTTCCTCTGCCGGCTGTTAAAATGGTATCGCAACGGCTTTAACCTCTTTGTCCTTGCTGTCAGTGACGGGCACGTCATATCCTCTCCCCAGCAGTCGTGGCTCCTCTAAGAGAAAGTGCTGGACGAGGGGCTCGAGTGCACCCTCAGTAAGTTTGCAGATGACACCAAGTTGGGTGGAAGTGTTGATCTGCTGGAGGGTAGGAAGGCCCTGCAGAGGGACCTGGCCAGGCTGGATCAATGGGCTGAGGCCAGCTGTATGAGGTTCAACAAGGCCAAGTGCCGAGTCCTGCACTTGGGTCACAACAACCCTATGCAAGGCTACAGGCTGGGGGAGGAGTGGCTGGAGAGCTGCCTGGCAGGAAAGGCCGTGGGGGTGGCGGTTGACAGCTGGCTGAATATGAGCCAGCAGTGTGCTCAGGTGGCCGAGGGCCAATGGCATCCTGGCTTGTATCAGGAATAGTGTGGCCAGCAGGACCAGGGAGGTGATACGGGCCC